GCTTAAGAAGGGGCTAGGGGCCGCGAAGTTCCCTCCGTGCCGAAACGTGGGTGCATGGCTCTAGGGTCAAGGTTTTGGGGTGGGTTTTTTTTAGTTCCGGTGTCAGTAGGATAATCTTTTAAAATGCTACGTGTGTTTGTGCTGGAGCGTGGTGCTGTGTGGTGGAGGACAAGTGGAACAAAGAGAGGAGATGTGTGACCAAGTGGGTTTAAAAAGCATTAAGCAAAACTGCAACAGTCTGGAGAAAGTTTCCGTTTCCTCTTTCTGACCCTTTCTCGGCCCCTTTCTCTTCTCCCTTGGGAAGTGGAGGGCTCTTATTAGTTTGTTAATCTCTAAAAGCCCCAGGGCTAATTTCATAGCTGTCACTAATTGCTTCTCAAATTCTTTGCTCATTCCACACTAGTCGTTGGGTTTTTTTGAGGGGTTGTTTTGTTTTTTGGTTTGTTTTTTTTTTTGGTTGTTGTGTTTTTTTTTCAAAACAAACCTCTTAAACCACAACAGTGATTACAAGGGAAGAAATACCCTTTTTATGTTTGTATTCTGGCATTTACTGTCCGGTTACATTCTGTCTCACATGGCCTTTACTCCCAGACCTTTTCTGGTGGAAAGATAACAAAAGAATGGACACATTTGATACATATAGTATGTGTAGTGCTGGTAGTATAAGTCATTGGACATCTCCCTTTTCTCAGCTGTCTTAACTCTGAGAAGGATTTACCATGTTCGGTCATTTTATGGCTTTCCTGTGAAAGCTGAGGAAGACTTCCAGGCCGTGGTCCTGTTACCTGTCCTTTTCTGCTTAATGAAAAAGGGGAGAGAACACAAATTTACTGTATCTGTAATACAGAGTGGATACTCTTGAGAAAGGGGAGAGCAAAATCATACTGACAATGCATTTGCTGTTTGAATCTAATCCTAGTGACTTTCTAATCTAAACATTTGATAGATTCCTTAGGTATTCACTCATATTTTGCTATAAGGCCACTGGGTTATTTCAAGCCACTGTTTCACACTTCCACTTATCTTCTGGAGTTGGCCAGGAATAGGTGTTGCTAAATTTGTACTGGAAGAGATTTCCATGCTTTACTTATTTGGTATCTTGTACTAAGGTAGTATATTAACATGATGTAAGTGAATCTGCTGGTGATATCTGTGGTAAAGTATTTGAATGCTTTCCTTTTTAGATACTTAAGTTGTTTAAATTTTGCCAAAATTGACAGCTCTGGCTGTTGGGTTCTTTTAATATGTGTCTTTTTCTCTAGTTTGGAACTTCATTGAAAAACCTCATGAGAGAAAGCTCTTCTCAAGAGTAAGGTTAGAGAAAAAAAAATTTATTTAGTTTAAATTAAGGGAAAAATCTTGCTGGCTTTGTCCTGTCTTGTAGGGCGAGCAGAAAGTGTTGTGGAGAGTTGACATATTCTAATATTTGTGTGATTTGTAGCACAGGCTTCAAATTGAGTAGGAGGCCCACCCTAGAGTCTTAGAATCATAGAATGGTTTGGGTTGGAAAGGACCTTAAGATAATCTAGTTCCAACTCCCCTGCCGTGGGCAGGGACACCTCAACCTTGCCCATGTCGTCCAGCCTGGCCTTGAACACTGCCAGGAATGGAGCATTTACCACTTTGAGCAACCTGCGCCAGTGCCTCACTACCCTCACAGTAAAGAACTTCTTCCTTGTATCTAAGCTGAACTTCCTCTGTTTAAATTTAAACCCATTACCCCTTGTCCTGTTGCTCCAGTCCCTGATGAAGAGTCAAAATGTACTTCTTGCTATTTCTGCAAAATTTGCAAAGAACTGACTGCAAAATAGGAACTATTCACTGTTCTTAATGGTAAGGGGATAAAAAGAGAGATTGAAGAGAGACATTCAATAATGTCAATCACTCATTGTTTTTAATGAAGCAGAAATCTTGGGAGGGAGGGGGGAGTGTTAGCCCGTTTTATTAGTGTAAGCAGTGTTGTAAAGTATATTGCCAACATGTGCAAATAACCATTTATAATCAGAGTTAATTGCCTCGATAAATTTCATGTTTGTTACCTGAATGTTCTTTTAACACAGTCTGGGCTATCTTCTATAGTATCTGTATTCATAATTAGCAAGCAGATCAGAAGCCACGTGCATCAGGCTGTTAGGTTCACTCTTCCTAGGATGACTGAAGGTCTTTTCTGTTGGTTTTAGTGTTGACAGTTTGCTTGGGCTCCAGCACACAATTTTGTGTGTGTTGAAACGCCTTAGAATGTCTGCGGATGCGTTCACCGATACCAGTGTGCCTGCTTGAACATGCACCTGCTCCTCCATTAATGCTGCTTGAAGGTCCAGAAGTGCCTTCAAAGCAACATAGATGCATATAGGATTTGATTTTGATCTGCATAGGAATTGCTTGGGGCGCGGAGGGGGTATATTAGGAAATAGCTCAAAACCACCTAGCTGATCAAAACTTCTCAAGTAAGCTGGAGTCTTTCTAGACATTATGGTTGATAAAGGAACTGAAACTGTGCTGTAATTCAAGTGAAATGCTTTTTTAGTAATGAGTATGTCGCAATCTTCCACCCCCTGGGCTTGTCACAGTTGGTGGCTCAGGGACTCAGTGAAGGGCAGGAGCACCCTCAGCCATTGTGTGACATTTCAATCGCAGCTTCTGCTGTTGCTGTGCGGTTTGCTTTGTGTGGGTCCTGAGACAACAAAAGTATAAACCTCAGCCCTGAAATGAAACTTGTAAAGGTGTGTAAATCAGAAGCACTGTACCCTGGAGAGTAATAAATGTGACTTACTGTTTTGCTAGTGATACGGAGTAATCATTCACTTGCAAGAGGTGTGCTTCTGTGTCAGTTTTGGGGTAATTGAGGGTCTTGCTCCCCAGGGAGGAGACCTGCACTCCTGAAATGTCTTTTCCTGTTTGGATTATTTTACATTATTTTGCTCTGTGTCCTATCGTCGCCATCCATATAACTATTCCCAGGCTGCTTCTGAGTCAGAAAGAAGTATAGCTAGGGTAAAAGTTGGGGCTTTTTTCCTTCTAGCTGCTGGTGGGAAAGCTAGAGAATACTCTTTTCTGGTAAAGAAAAGCAGTAAATAACAAGATTTTATTATATATATAATTTAAATAGTAATATTTATATGTTTGCAAAGCATTGGTGTGCTAATGCTTGCATTAATCGCAAAGAAAGCCTCCTTAATTAGCGGTGAAAGTATGCAGGCACTTGGAGAAATTGCTTAGTCTCCCTCTATTCACACCTTTGGTAACTTGAGTTTCTGTTTGTGTACAGACAAACCCTTTGGCTCCCAGGACTGTTATATGGGAGGTTTTAAAAACACTGTGAATTGTGTAATGAGACAGAGGCATAAATAGTAAATTGGAGAACAAGCTGGTAGATCTGGGCCTTGATTCAGATCCATGTGTGTTTCAGTGGTAAAATGGTTGGGTTTTAACTTGTGCAACCCTGATGATATGGGTATGATTACTACAGGACACATCTAATCTGTTTTCCCAAGTGGTTATTGTCTGTCCTTTCCAGTTGCTTGCTTCTTCCTGCCAGCATTTTATTTTTCCTTTTTAGTTTGACTGCTTTACTAATAGAAAGAAAGTGGAAGATCTTGGGTATGATGAGCACTTTTAAAATTGAAAGGATTCTCTTGAACTTGGGCTTTAAATGCAACACAGTAGAATCTAATAAAAACTGATACTTCTGTGTCTCAGAACACGATTCTTAGACAAAGACGGAGTGGCAGAAAACCAAATAATTATTTCTAAGACCCCTAACATAGATACTAATGTTAATAAGTCTTAAGAGATTGGAGAGTGTGTATTACAGTAAGCTGTAACAGAAGCTGCAATAAAGCACAGATAGAAAGTCTTTTATCCTCTGTATCATATTTGGTCCCTGTATGCAGACTTCCTTTCAAAGAGCGTTTATAGTTAAATGACAAGAGAGAACAATGCATTGTCATTAATATTTTCTAAAAGTTTGTTTACCCTTCTGTTTTGGAAGGAAAGGGGAGGGAAAGCTTCTTGGAAAGGATCTGTGTCTGATTGGAATATTTAATTCTTCAGTTAGCTGCCCCGTTCTTGGGTAATGACTTATTTAGTAGCAATGCATATCTAGCAAGAGGCTTGAATTAGTGATTGCTGGTTCATGTTTCTGCTCTGTGGTTTTGGCCCTTACCCTTTTTAAAGCTGATTTCCATGAAGCTGATTATGTGCAGGCTAATCTGTAATACTATATGTTTCAGTGACACCTCTTCCAAGTCAAGGCGCTGGTTGTTGCCAGGAGCAATCCCTCTTTGCCTCACTTTTGGAAATTGGTTAATGCATGCCTTTTGCTCTCCTTCTACCTCGGGAGGCAAATGCATTTCCCTAGAGTGGTTGGCTGCAGTTCCTGGAGATTGTGGAGTGAAGGGAGGGTGCCTGTCACACTGCATATTAATGAGCTCTTGGAATCAAAGACCTTAGTTTTGCAAAAACTGTTAAACCTTTGGTGCCTTCAATAGTAGGGAAGTTTGGTGTTCTGAGTCAGGAGGTCAATCCTACCTAGCCCTATAAAACAAGTGTTGCTTTCCTACAAGACCAGACCTTGACTGAGTGATGGAGAGGTATATTTTCATATTCTGTTTTCTGAAAGAGTTCTAAAGTATTCATAGTGTCTTTCTGTTTGTTTTCATTTTTTTTCCCCCTTAATACCAAAAGGTGCGTCACCCAGTCATCTGTGTCAACAGCCATGTATTCTGTTCTATTTGTATTGAAGTGTGGCTGAAGAACAATAATCAGTGCCCAGCTTGCAGGATTCCCATCACACCTGAAAATCCTTGCAAGGAAATTATAGGTAAGGATGACTAGGCTTGGAAATAACTTTCTGGTATTTACTGCTGGAGGAGATTCTTCTGAGTCCAAAGATACCTGGGTATTTTCTTTTTCCTCTGTGTGTTTTTTACAAGCATCTACTGACTTGAAATCTTTCCAGAAGCATACATAATAGCTGCAAGGTAAAAATTCCAAAGATGACGTGTATATTAATGGCTAGATAATTCGAAGGCATCAACTGCCCCATGGCTTTGATGATTGATTTTTAAATCTTGGTCAGACAGTGAAAAAAAAAAAACCACCCCCCACACCTCATGCTTGAAGTACTCTACCTATGCTTTGCAACCTGTTGACCTAGGAGAATAGCATTTAGCGGAGAAATAGTGTACTTAAATCCAGAGTCTTGAGTATACGGTCTTTTTTTCTTTTTTTCTTTTTTTCTTTATTTTTTGTTCAGCATTTCCTCCCTTGTGCTTTATTTTTGAGAAAATGTCTCTTAGCCCAGAAATTAGACAAAGCTGCAACACCTGACTGAAGACCTGAACTTCATCAGAGCTAGGAAATATTGTGATCTTTATTTGGCATAAAATGTCAGCGCTGTTATTTGGTTCTGAGACAAAAATATGTATGAACAGCCTCACTTTAGAAACTCACTCTGTCTTGAACTAATTAAATATATGCTTGATTTCCCCATCCCACTCCTCCCTCTTAGCTCTGTTTTAATAGATGGTCTTTAATAAGACAGGATTCTGTCAAGGAAAATACAAAGTTAAAAAATTCAAAAGTTGTCTGCATGAGGCAGGGTTTTGACTTCCAAACATCGCTAGTAGATACTCCCATTTAACCTGTTCTGAAAATGAAATTACTTTAAATCTTCCATGGTTGTAGATTGGTCCAATGTTACCTGTATTTGTAGTTGATAATATGGAAAGTGGTATAATGTGGATCCCTAGTATTGAATTAACTGAAAAATAAGCAATACTAGTGTTTCTTTCATCCTTTGCTGCTTTAGGAGGAACAAGTGAAAGTGATCCTATCTTTAGCCCGACAGTCAGAAAACACCTACGTAAAACAAGGCTTGAATTGCTCCACAAAGAATATGAGGTAAGGACATGGGGAGTGTTGTGACTTTCCAGATGAACTGCAGCTGTTAAATTACTGCATACAACTGGTCCTTTTGCTTTGAGTCCCGTTGTTTTTAATTTGAGTAAAAGTTTATACTGGAATTACATGAAACTCGACTGCATTAAAATCCTGGCTTCTGGCTAAGGTTATGAGAGAGCATTTGCTGGTGCTTGAAGTGGTCTGGCTGCAGACATGATGTTATTCTTTACATGCTATAGGTAGCCAGGCACAGCCAACGATACAGTTTTGTGGAAATTCCACCCCCAGGTAGTATGGGATGGTTTTCTTTATGCAGATTTGGCGTTGGGAGCTTTTTGTTTAGTCTTCGATACAAATGCAGACATTTCTTGAAGTAATTCCCTGTTGCTCAGGGATACTAAATTCCTTCTTAAAGAATATTGCCCACTGTAACCTTCTGGCATAGGTTAATTTTTATCATTGTTGCTTTTTTGTTTCCTGAAGTGAGTGCTTGAAAGTTTATCTCCACTCTCCTGATAGAAAAAATATTCTCTTAGAAACAAGGTGAAAAGGTGTTAATAAGGAACATGTTTAGTTTGTTTTTTCATCTGTTGTTTCCTTAGTAGCAGCAATGTGAAGACATCCTATATTTTGTAAGGAAACCTATCTCAGGGAGAAGAATGGGAGAAAGGAAATGGACACTGTGTATATCCTGAACACTGGGGAAGTAAGGACTGTCTTTTATGACAAGATTGCCTATGGCTCAGCTTCTTTCATCCTCTATGAAAGGAGGAGTCAGGAAAAGGAGTTTTCATGTCTTTCTACTGAATCAACTCCAAAATCACACAGATAAGCATAGGATAACATAAATCTCTTCAAAAACTCTAAATTTAAAATGATTGTTGTCCTGCTGGTGGTAATGGTGGTGGGAAATCCTGGTTGTTCATGCAAATATGCCTGCGATTAATGTAAACGCTGTCTATGGCCTCCTTTAGTAATCTGACCTTGCACAACTTAAATATTTAAGTTGGTGAACAGTGTAGAAGACATATTTTCAGGGTAAATTCATTCTTTTATCCCTTTAACAACAGGCTTTTGAAAGTTTGTGCTTCTCTGTGGCTTCAGAACGATATGGCTAAGAGCTTTGTTCTTTGCATTTTGAGAGTCTTTCCTAAGATGTTACTACTTTAGCATAGCTGGAACAGCCTTTTCCAGACAATGTTCTGTCCATTTTGAATCTTGAGGCTTTCAGCATCTAAACATGTGATGTTTCAGAATGATATGAGAAATATCCTCAAATAACAGCAAATGAGTCAGCAGACAACGACCTTAAGAACACTCTTAATACAGGAAATCCTCCCACAGAGTGCCCTAATAATAGATTCATGTTGCTGAATGCTTTGAAGCTTTTGGTCTGCCCGCCGGTTTGTTCAGGGCCCTTTATGTAGTCAAGGGATTCCCTTCACTAAAGCCTTCACTGTGCTTGAGTGTGCAGGTTGATTAAAATCCTGCCTAGAGCACAATACATAAACATACTTAGATATATGTGTAAGTGAAGGCATGCATCTGGGCTTGCCAGAACCCATGTTTCTGAAGTGCTGTGGGAACTTGACAGCATTATTTAATTAATCTCACGCATTATTTTAATTCCTGTGAATTTCTGACACCTTTAGGATGAAATAGAATCCCTGCAAAAAGAAGTGGAAGATCTGAGAGGTAAAAATCTCAGTTTACAGACACAGCTGAAATCTCTTCTGGATCCTATGGCATCAGCTTTGTCTTGCCAAAATGAGGAAACTAGCCAGTCATCAAATGAAGCAAGTACCAGTGGCCCAGAAATCCCAGAGGAATGGAGCAAAAAGCTGAAAGCTGCCAGTGATATGTATGAAAAAGTGATGGATAACATGGAAAAGCTAAAGGAGGTAATAAATATATTTCTTCAGCTGCCTTGTAGTATAACTATTTTGTGCTACTTAAACAGGAGTGAGAACTATCATGACCTTTGGGTACGTCATAGATCCAAAAGAAAGAGTTAAAAATTGAATTGCAGTGACTATTGGTGTATCATAGTATTTCCATAAAGCCTTCACAAGTGTCAGATGTTATTGCTTCTTCTAGTGAGTCTTGTATGTGACTCTTCTTCAACTCCTCTGTCACTCTGTGGCTGGGTAATTGGATTATAGTAGCACTTGTCACCAGTATTGATGACCAGATTTTTCAGGCTTGCAATAATCTATATAATATATCTATTTTACAACATTCAGTGGCCAAACACAGTACAGTTGGCTGAGGCAGATTTTGCACTATTGCCCTCCCTGCTAGCCAATATTTTTGGTGCAATTTGCTGAGACAGAGTAACTTGACCCTTTGACCGAAAATAGACAAGCTTCAGCATTTTATGACCAGAAGATCCTTTACTGGAAACCTGCGGCTTTTTTATACATCTTGGATGTAATATAGGAGAAAACCTGATACTGCAGAAGGATTGATGCAGGAGATAGTCATGTAAAAATACATCTAAACAAAAATACCTTGCAAAATCTACCTGTGGTCACAAGAAGGATCAGCTCAAACATTGAAGATGAGTGACATTTCAAGATTAACTTGAAAGGCAAGATGGAAAGAACTGGACTTGCATTTGTTCAGAATGCTTTTTTTATTTCTTCTGTTAACAGTCCTGAGTTGCCTCCTGCAAAACTGAAGCATTATGTGTTGGAGGACTCTGAAAAGCAAGAGCTGTTCAGTCACAAGAATGAGACCTCTTTCCCATATACGCTCAACCTGGAACTAGAAACCTTATCCCATAAAGTACATGATCCAGGAGCTTCAATCACCCATATCTTCCCAGTGAGACAGGGTCTAAAACCAGACTGAGTCAAGAAATAGCAGTCACCTTTATCATTTAATGTCCTAGAGCAGAGACTCCCAAAGTAGGCATTATTACTGAGTGGAGTCGTAACAAGCATGGAAGTGGTGATACGAACCCAGTAGTAGAAATACTAGACAAAGTACACTCATAAATAATGGAGTTACATGAACTCTTTGAACTAGATGTTGTGCTGCAAGTGGGGATCCGTTGCAGGTTACAGGTTTGGAGGGTAGAGCACTCTCGGGAAGAAGGACACCGAAGAGGTTCAATCCTGCCTTGTCATGTGCCAGGTGGATGCCCTACCCACGAATTCTATGCAAGTCATGCAATTTTCTGTTAGATTGTGATGCTGGGGAAACAGTGTCTCTGGAAAGAGAGAAAGGTCTTGTCCATGCTATCAAATGGTTTCATGCTCTTTTGGAACTGAGGTATCCTGGATTATTACTCATTGCTTTCAGGATAATTTTTTGTGCTTTTTTTAAATACCAAATGGTTGACATGTCAGGCACTCAACCCCTGGGCTCACCCTTCCCATTCCTTCTTTACCAGAAGTTTCTATTTACTCTTCCTGCCCCTAGGAATATTGCGGTGTTGAGGATGGTGGTGTTTTGTTTTGGGTTCGTTTTTGGTTTTTTTTTTTCCTGCTCCATTCCGCCTACTCTCCTCACTCTCTTCGCCTCACCTGGAGAGGGGATATCTGTATAAGCATTGTAAGGTTTTCTGCCTTTCTTCTTGCGCTGTCTGATGCTTCTGAAGAAGTACATTTCACTCCTGAGCCCAGTTGCATGGCTCCTTCTTCATAGCTAACTCTAGATCATGCTTTCATTGTGCAGTGTAAGTGACATCTAATTGAGGCTGTGAATTACAAGTCCTGGACTGGTGATGCTGTTTTCAGCATACAGAGGTTGAGCCAACTATGAATTGCAGAGTATTTTCTACTTGTTAGGATAGTGGCATTGATTGTTCTGTAACACAGAGGCAAGAAAACTTCTGTTTATATGAAGTGTCTTGTTAAGGGTGTCTGCTGAACTGAGAAGAAGGAATTGACCTCAATTCAAGGGGTAAGAAGGGTTGTGTATCAGGAGTCTTAATCACAACATCCTGGAAGAAAGTGAAGAAAGACTGCAAATAGCTTGTCGTAATGGATTTACATCTGCAGGATAACTATGCTTTAAAAACAAGCCAAAAAACCACAAAGTAATCTTACTCTAATTTGGAATGGGGGAAGCTGTTCAACATTAGTTTTGCTGATACCTGCACATTGTAATGTTAATGTACTGAACATATTTAGTCACGTGTCAAAAACAACATGGAATTGCCATTAGTACATCTCCTTAATGACTTTCAGTGCTAACTAACATAGCTGTGTTTATTTCCCTAGATAGGACACTTGCAATGTATTTTGGGAATATAAATAAAAAATGTCTGTTCACTATTCAGTTTTGCAAGCCATTTCCCATGATGATTTTTAAGTGGTGTCCCTGTCTGAAGGCTGTTTCCTGCCTTCACATTTCTAGTTCTGTCCTTTTAAAAAGGACAAACAGCTTGTCCTATAAATATTAGAAGTAATTTCTGGTTTACTGTATACTTATTCTTTTTCCTTTTCTTTTCCTTAGGCAAATAAGAAACTGAGCACGGAAAACAGTAGCCTTTTGAGAGAGAATTTGCGACTGAAAGCTGAAGTTGATAATAGATCACCCCAAAAGTATGTGAATATTTTAAAAGCTACCATATTTTATTTATAGACTGTTTAACTGTTGTAGGCCTTTAACCTAAAACCGTGGTGGTGTACATGGCGTTGCATATGTGGATTTTGGAATTTTTACCCTCGTAGACGTGGGTGATAAATGTAACTCACAGAATAGCAGCAAGTGGATAACAGATGCAACTTACAGAGTAGCAGCAAGTCTATCGTGAAGGAGTATGGCATGACTACGAGTGTTATTCCTTGCGTTATCTGGCCAATATTGAAGGACTGGATTTATTAGTCGAATTCTACAGTTATTTTTGGTTTTGGGGTATTTCTTAATGTAGTGTAAGGTCAAAGTAGAAGGTCTGTAACTAAGTGCAGATGTTCTGGTTATTTGTGTTCAGTTTTGGTTTGTTCTTCCTTTTGCTGCCTTCAGGGTTTGTTCTGTGGACTTAAGCTCCCTGTTCTAGGGATTTCCCTGGTAGGTTTGTGTCTGGGCAAGATATGTAGAATCGAGCTTCTGCAGCATGAGAACATCATTCCCAGAGTGGACGCCTGTGTTTAACACTCTTAAACAGTTAAAACGTCAGTGACAACAACCTCAAAAAGCAGAAACTTTGCTGTACTTTGGAAGTACTTTGTGAAGCAACATGTTCATGTTTTTAAGTTGTGTTCCTTTCTTTCTCTGGTTTTCTACCTTTTCTTCTCTCATTGGTTTAGAACTTAGCTAAGAGCAGCATTGGCCAAAGGTTTATACAGTGCTTTTGAGGAAGGGGGTTGGGGGTACCTGTGTAATGTCAGAAGAGAGCTCTCTGGATTTTGTTCTAGTTCACAACTCACTTGCTGGAAGATGAAATTCATCCTTATAGAGAGCTTGCTTGGCAGACTGCTTGTCATTTGAGATCACAGGGAAGAAGATGCATGATCCTTTGCTATGCTATTGAATGCATAAAAGTACATTCTGCCCTGAAGAACTCTAATAAGGGAGATAGAGCCCTATTTAAGGTCTTTGTAATGGAAAGGGCGTTAATGGCACGGAATGGCTTTTTCCATAAGATTCAGGAGTGAGTTGGCAAGGATGGCAAACTTGAAAAGTAAATAGATGTAACAAAATACATCCTAGAAAAGAAGAGACCAGGTAATCTAACTTGATTTTTACTTTACTGATGTCAGGTAAACTCCCCAGTGGGGAGAATTTTGTTTCTTCTAAATTTACTATCCTGTTGTTCAGAAAAATTAGATATCAGAGGGGAGAGGGTGTGAAGAACTAGTTTTGTTGCAAGCTGATTATTTTTCCATCTTTTGCCAGTATGGCCTAAAACACTAGCCAGTCACTTTGTTTTTTAGAAGCACAAATACAGCAAATGTTAGAAATTGGACAGTTTTGATGCACATGTCAAAACAATTCTTCTGAATTCCAGTCATGTCCATCAGGTGGTAGGAAGTCTCTGCAATCCTAGTGTTGTTAGGAGATTTTATAAATCAACTTTCATCCTTGTAGTCATCAATCTGGCCAATATCTAGACCAGACCTAGTATCAAGACATTTTTTAAATGTTCTTCCAGTTCTGATGACAAACTTTGATAATACCTAAAAGGTCTTTCAAGTAGGCTTCACACTTTGAACAGGGGTTGCAATAAATGTTTTCTTACCTTGCTTATGAAATCAAAATTGAAGCCATAAGCATCATAACGTGACAGTGTCACTATAATTAAACTTTTCTGTGCAGGTACATTGATTTGCCAGTACAGTTGTTTCAGTGTACTTTTATTCAGAATTGTTCAGAAGGTAATTTTTGGGAAGAGTTTCTGAACTGCTCTCTAGTGCAGTTTTAAATAGCTACGGAATTGGATCTTTGTAATTTAGTGTCACTACCATTTTTTCATCTGTTGTATGTTTCTCAGCTTCAGATTTTCAGGTATAGGTTCATGCTTAAACAACTGGCTGGGTAACTAAAACTTGTATCAGATTATTGTTGAAAGGTTTTGTCAGTATTCAGTTCTCTTACCCCAAATGTAGTTCATTTTGTGCATAATGACACTGAAGCTAAGTATCACAACCTAAATTATTTTAGTAGACTTCTCTTTACAGCAGAGGCCATGCTGATGGCAGGTGAATGATCCCATTGTAACACAAACTCTACTTCTGACATCATAGGAAAAATATAATTGCCCTTCTTCAGTGGTCAATAAAGCATTTTCCTTTTATCTTAGTCTTGAGTTATTTTTCTTTGTTCATATCCATTAAAACCTGCTGGAAAATGTCATGTATTGTCAATAAAATTGACATTGCAGCCATGTCAGAGATTTTTACACAATTTTTTAGTTGATGCTGCTGATTGATTAGATTTTTTTCTTTCTTTTCTTTCTGAAACATTTTTAAGAGTAGACCTTCACCAGAATACCATACCATTATGTAGCTGGGACATAGGTCTGAAAAGCAAATAGGGGTAAGTTTCTTGCTCTGATTCTTACCAATGACCTGCATTAGTCTCCCATTTCTCCAGAAAACCAGACTTACTTACTGTTTGGAGGTTATTGGTTGCTCTTTCTTTGCCCTTTCTCCTGAGAAATTTTCAGTGACTTCCGTTTTCCAGATGCAGAACAGGAAAACTTCTAAAACTTAAGTTTTAGAGGATGATAAAGCCTTATTACTTCCAGCTCTGCTTAAAATAGAAAACTCTTAGGTCTATTGGCAAGGCACAATGGATCTAAAAGCATGGATCTAAAAGCATTTTTGGCAAAGGGCTGTTTGCTTTTTACCTGAAGGAAAATAACCAGCAAGTCCATCTACTCCGGGGTATAGTGTATTTTATGAATGGTTAGATTCAAATTAGCTTGAACCAGACTTCTAGGCTTCCTAGGAGTCTTTTCCCTAAATATTTAATTTCGTCTGCCAATTAAAATCCCAGTATGAAAAACTATGTGTAACATGCAGAAAATAGTTGTGTTATCTCTTTTTTCTGGTTTTGTGAGTTTTTTGTTGTTGTTGTTTTGGGGGTGGGGTTTTTTCCCCCTTCTTCAGATTTACTGTTTATCTTGTCTAGATATGTGACTTCAGATACCTGCACACTGAAATGTAAGGCTGCTGACTTTTCAGGTCATTCTGCACAACATTCAATTTTTATCTAACTAGAATATTTCCACTCATGCCAGACTACTTGATTCAATCTGCATTTCAGTGAGTCTGAAAACAGACTTCTAGTAATCAGTGTCCCAGGTGCAGGTGATAAAAATGCTACTGTCTTCCCTGATAGAAACCTGGGCTACTTTCTTACCTCCTCACAAGCTTGCTATCCCAGAGGAGTGGCTATTTTCAAAGGCCAGCTGCAGTGTGGCCTTAAAAGTAAATAGGAGAAAATGCTGTACAGTAGCCTTCAAAACAGCTTTAGATTCTTGAGTTATAACATTAAATCCATAACATTAAAATATTAAATATAAATGAGGAAGCACCCATTCCAGACATGAAGAGCTAAACCTTAAGCGGGTGGGTAAGGACATTCAGATCACACTCACTGGTTTTGTGGGTGTTCTGGTGGTTTGGTTTGTTTGTTTTGGTGGGGGTTTTTCTTAGTAATTCTGAAGTAATCCTTTCTGTCCTATACTATTCACCAATCTTGGATATATATTATTTGGCTTTCTTATGTGGAAGACCAGTGCAGCTTCACTGAAAGATATTAAAAAGTTTTGAGCAGCTTTGCATATTTGTCTGAATTCACCCAATTCTCTACCTGAAAGGAAATGCTCATACAAAGAATGTACCTGACTTGGCTCTTCTGTTCAAATCCTGCTGTTCTGTAGTTATCCAACAAACAGTAAAACTTAGACTTACTCATGTAATTTGAAGGAATTGGATTTCCCTGATGCTGAGGAGAGATTTCACGAGGAAGGCCATGCATCTTCAGATTAGTTTGTACTCTGTGAACTGTGTGATAAAAGGGATTTACTGGCCAGCATTTGCTTACATTGAAAATAACTTGTTCTTTGACAAGCTTAAAAAAGTAGCTATAGCAAGTAACTTGTTTTACAAGCTTAAAAAAAATAGCTATAACAAGTCTTTCTTCTTCTTTCAAGAAGAAGCCATTCTACACTTTCTTCTGTCAGGCAACTTAGTCTGCTAACTTAGGATGGAAAGCAGTAGTAGGCTACACCCAGAACCACTTTTTCAGTGGAACCAAATTCCATTACTGAGTGATAGCTGGAGGCCAGCAGTAATGTAAAAGTCCTTAGGCTATCTAAAATGTCACTAGGTGTTTGTGTTGAAGGACCAAATCCCACCTGAAATGTCTTTCTATTCACTTATGAGTGACCACTACTTTCTATGGAAAAGCTTTCAGTTTTCTGTGGAAAAGATGTACTTGAAACAAATGCAGTGAGATACAAACTCATTGTTTAAGTGATACAACTAAAGAACAAAACCCCTAACACTCAAAAGACATTATCCAGGCATGAGGATACGAAAAGTGTTTTTTACCACGTGTATACTGAATACCTTAACTTCTCCTGAAGAATCTATCAACTTGTTACCAAGTGTGAAGTGTTACATATACTTTGGGGGAAAATAATCTAACTAGAATGTGAGGTCAAACTTTAATTTATTCTCCTGTAACGGTACTGCATTATATTATTGTTGTCATCAGACCATAACTTTTTGGCTATGGCAGAGCTCCCTGTACATCTGTGGGGAAAAGAAGAGGAAATCTCTTGGAACTGGTTTGGTTTGGAGAGATGAGGAAGGTTCTGGCTTCTGTAACCAAAATATGTATGTCTCTTAAGCACTCTGCTGACCTGCCAGATCAGTCACTAAGACACCTATGTCGTCCTCTGGTCTGGAGTAATTGGTTTAAATATGTGCACTGTAATACGGCTGTCTTAAGTATCCATGTCGTTGAAAAGTTGGGAAATAAATGCATGCAAGTCTCAAAGGAGGAATAGAAAGCCACTACTGTTCTGGTACTTAACTGTAGAGGTTACTGTTTGTAAGCAGTATGTCATATGCTCCATTTCTGAAAACCAAAATTCCCAGCACATCCCTCTGCAACAATTAACATATTAGTGATGCCTTTTGGCTTTGAACAACATACTGTATTTTTTTTAACCTGAGGACACTTGTTATAAAAGTTGCACTTGAGAATACAGTGCTTCTTCCTCATAAGCAAATCTGAGGCTGTCACTAATGCTATTTGCATTAAATAAACATATTACACCATTCTTCCATTAAAAAGGAATTGCCAGGTATGCATATAAATGTAAACATGTTTAATTTTTATGTCAAAGTGTCTGTCAGAGCAGACTCCAGAAAATCTTGCTTATTTTACATAAGCATTTTCCCCCATCCCTCACTTGGTTATTAAGCTGAACTGTATTTTTGTATCATCTTTATGTCCTTTATTAAGCACTGTAGGGTTTCTTCCTTTGAGGCTGTGTGAACAGGCCTGTTACAGAAATACTTACAGATTACCCTAGGAAGTAGGAACTGTTTTGCTTGTGCCTTGCTATGCTACAGAGGCTCCTTCACTATCTTAAACCAAAACCTGAGTTCCTTTTGCTGAAGGAGGGAATAAGCCAAAATGTGTTGTATGTGAGGATGCTTATTCCATTGTAACTCACTTCCCCTGAAAATATATTTGCATTCGTGAGCTGTCTGTGATTCTGCTTTTGTCTATTTTCATGGGGGAGAGGGAGGAAGTCCTGTGCACTTTTTATCCCATTTCCCTCTTGCATGCAAACCAGAAATGGAGAAACTGCTATAATAAGTTGAGAAAACTTGTTACCCATAGAGTGAGCAAATGAAAAATGGTTTGTATTCATTTTTATGAAGACAAAAGTAATTGGGTAGAGGTAATGCAGAGGTGGGGAGATCCTTACCTTGACAGAGTTCCAATTCAGCCAGCTTCTTTTAGGGGAAGAAGAATCTTACCAAGTGAACATTCCTATTCTAAATACAAAACTTGTACCTTGCCATTCCATGTCTCCAAGGCAGTGAGTGGCACACACCAAAACTGTGTGAAGCATATGCTGATCTGATTTAAAAAGTGGTCTAATAGCAGTGCTGTGAAAGAAATGACTTAGACTGTTGTGTGAATCTTACCCACCACTCTTGAAAGTCTTTTCAATATGCGGAAACAGTTGAATGGTGAAATATGTCGCATGTGCCCAGTTTGTCTGGGACTTGTGATACCCTTTACTCCTTTCCCTGACTGCCTCCTTAATTGTTGTAATTATCAGCATAGAGCAGTTTCCTACTGCTTTGGGCTCAGAAGCAAACAAAATACAGAAACAAAATACATTTTGATTCATTGCTGGAAATGCCTGCATAGATTCATGGATATTTTGCCAGCATAGTCATAGGCCACAGATACGACACCTTCAGACCTCACTGCAGCAAAGGCTTAAGGGTTGCAGTGAGAGCATTTTGTGAAGAGGTTTGGGGAATGAATGGGGCAAATGGATTGGGAGTTCCCTGTGACTCTGAAGGAGAGATAGACAAAGAAACGGAGTAGAAATTCCAGGCAGTGTTTGTGCTGGAAGAGTGAATTATAAACTCACACTGTAACATGGAGCTGAAAGTGGAGGTTAGTGTAAGCCCGCATAAAGAATTGTCACTTCTTTTCTTTGTGATATAAAACTTTACATGTCAGAGTTGTAGGGTGGCTGCAGGTCCTTCCCTCCTTCCTAATAATACCAGAACTTTAATTGTTTTTTCTCTCAGTAAATTGAAAGCCTCAGGTGGAGCAGGGAATTCCCTGGTGCCCACCTGTCAGTGACAGGTTAGAATTAGTCAGGGCATATAGCTGAAACCTTCACCTGCCCTCTGGGGAAGGTCATCTTGAAAGCTGGTGAAGGATTTGGGGAAGGCAAGTCCATATCTTGGCAGTTGAAAATGTGCTGAAGCTGGAAGCATCACGAACTCACAAGTTTCACAAACCACAAGTGGCAGGTTTTTTTGTATTGGAGTCAAGAAATTAGATTGTTGCAGTTGTAAAGCTCAAAAAACAAGTCTGAAGCAAGTGGAAGTACCATCCACATGATGGCTGAGGAAAAGCTGTATATCTAACAGGAATATAATTGAAATGGTCTATGTAAGTATTTAAACCACATCAAAGGACTATTGCAGTTTCTGAATTTCATATTGGCATTTTATATTTGACAAGGTGACATTGTGTAAGGAATGTATTGTAAAACACGGCTGTACTGTAGGAAAATGATTGAATGTAAATATTTCAAGATGTGGACCACTGTTCAAATGTTATCATAAATCTTCGTCATTGTTTTAGGGGATAATTCTTCATGCATATTTGAATTGAATTGATAGAACCAGCCCCTTGAAGGGTAATGTGCTTGTTATTGCCTTACTACCACTAATAGTTTAATTTTGACTTTTCAGGTGTTCACCTCCACCTGTACATTATATATGATGATTTTAGTATTTTTTTTCTTCATAACTAGCAGAGAAAAGTTTTGACTTTTGTTTTCAAATTAACACAGTGATTGATAGCTTTGTTCTTTCTTTAAATGAGCTTGCAAAGCACCATGAAGATGTCTTTTTCCAGCTTAATATTTTCTTTCTTTTTTATTTCTTTCAGGTTTGGTAGGTTTACAATAGCTGCACTTCAGTCCAAAGTAGAACAAAGTGAACGTGAAATGAACCGTCTAAAAAAGGCACTGGAAAGAAGTGATAAATACATAGAAGAAATTGAGTGTCAGCTTTTACAGCTGAAAAATGCAGCCAAAGGATCCCAGACAGTGAGCGCTGTTAGTGAGAGAGCACTTTCCACAGATGCTAAAGGAGCTGAGAGCAGTGAAGATGCAACATGTTTGAAAGCCCAAGTTGAGGAAAAAAAATCTTTGACTACCAATCAAAGTCCTGACAGTCTTGAACAGCTGACAAGTGGTGAAACTAGTTCAAGCTCTTCTAGTCAAGAGGGTTCAAATGGCTCAAATACCCAGTGTGCCTCAAAGAAAAAACTATTTCCAGGGTGTCATGGGGTTCTCCTGGATGAAAACACTGCAAATATGGATGCCTGCTTAGAAGAGCAGTGGAATAAAATTGAGGAATGTACCCCATATAAGGATGAAGAACTTTACGATCTTCCACCACCGTGCACTCCTTTTCTGTCTCTCAGTCGCCTTCAATTGAACACTCCTGATGGAAAAGAAAATGCGAGGAAACCAGCAGTATTCCTGAGAAAACTGAAATTTGAAGAGTTTTGTGATACTGCAGATGATTGCAGCAAAGATTCTCCTGAACACAGCACAAGCAGCTGTAATAGCGAAAAGAAGCTTAACTGTTTTACTACAGGAAAATCAGGGTTTTGGGGGACCTGCCCCACAAATTTTGCTGAGAACTTAGATTTTGATGAGTCAGAGCAAAATTCAGTAGCTGGTCAGTCAGATGAGACATCAGGAAAGTCCAGTGATAAAATAAATTCTTGCTTACCTAAGAGGTTGCATACCCTCTGCTCTTCTGAAATGAATCGCACAAGAACCTCCAGTGAGGCATCTATGGATGCTGCCTACCTCGATAAAATTTCAGAGTTGGACTCAATGATGTCTGAGTCAGACAACAGCAAGAGTCCATGCTATAATTTCAAGTCCTCCGATCTTGATAACTCTTCAAAGTCAACAGAGTGCTCTAAGCTTCTGAATGGAACTGAGAAGAAACTGGAAGAGATGAATGAGGAACAGAGTATGAAGTGTCCAGAGACAAGCGATCCAGCAGTTGACAGAACTGGCTGGAAACGTGCTGTGTTTTCCATGCTCTCCCCATCTGAGCTAGATATGAATGACCACTTTCCACTGTTCACAGGCCAAAACGCAGTGGCTAGTGATGTCAAACCTCCAAACTGTTCATTTCAAAGAGACTTTTCCCAGAGTTCACTATTCAGTAACTCACAAAGGTTGTTTGAGGAACAAAAGTTCGGTTCCTGCTTTTTAAAGATGCCATCTGACCTGCACAGTCAACTTAATCCTCCTTGGGTGTCTTCCTTTGTAGCTGAAAGGAAAAATAAAAATGTCAGTCAGTCAACCAAGAGGAAAATTCAAAGCAGCCTTTCCAGTGCTAGTCCATCAAAAACCACCAAAAACTAACACTGCTTGGAAATTGAACTTGACTCAAAGTCATCAACCTGCCAATGTTTAATATTTACAGGTGAACTTAATGACTTCCATGCAATCCAATCTGTGTGAAAACTGAACAGTCCCTTGCCCATTACAAGCTTTTTCCTAGGCAAGAACCATTCCAGATTCTTTTCTTTGGCTGGGCGTTTTATTTACTTGGGGATGGGGTTTTGGATTTTAAGTTTTCATATTACATCATCTTCCGATTGTGGACACAGCTAATGGCTCTCTTGAGCAGGACAGTTGCAAGTGATCTTGTCAAATCATTTCTGTAAGAATTTGTTTTAAAGGTTACGTTTCCCATTCCTAAAGATTGTGTTGTGTGTGTAAGGCAGCTACTGGCTATATATCCTATGGATTCATGAAATTGCTATAAAACAATGTCACTTTTGCCATAAAACTCGCCTCTCAGAGGGAATGTTGCTGCTTGGACTGTTTCATAGCACTGTATACTGTACAGAAACTCCTGGGTTTATGTGGGTGTAAGGTAGCAGCCTCTTTCTTTTCAGGGTTACAGCACTTCGGTTAGAAAACATCTGTTCATGAACACTGCAAACACAGCTTGTATCTTTTGAAGTTAAGCACAATTTTTAATTTAGTTCCCAAAAAGCATTGTTATTCTAAATGTGCTCCATATGCCTGTATAGACCATAAAAATGGGTTTGTATGCTAATGACTTGTTTACCTAATGTGCACTGAACATTTTACATTAATACTGTACCATTTTACATTAATACTGCATGCTTTTCTATGTGAATTGAATAAAACATGTTATAAGCACTGTAATCCTTGATGTTGCCTCAAATATTGAATTAGGAAAAAAAGAATGGGGAGACTTTTTACCTTTTTTCTTTTTTTTCTTTTTTTTTTTTTTTGTGTCGTTTGGAAACTAGGTAAGTTTTGTAAAACACAAATGTGAGCTTATTCACAAGAAAAAATCAAATCTCCTTTCCTCCTCCTTGTTAGACATTATCATTCCGGTGTCAGCATCGATACAGTTGATGGAAATGGCTTTCGGCCTCTTTGGAGGTGACTCTTCCATAAAGTATTGCATAGGTCAACATAATGTGATGGCCTACTACAGGCAGGAGACCTAATTAAGCAGCAGAGCAAAATTGGTTTCTTTGCATTATTGTGTTTAAGGTTTTTTTAAGGGCATATTTAATTGCAAGATGTGTGTTTTTCTTTCTATATAGGCCTCTGATGGCATTTCTTAGAAACAGACATCCTTGCTTCATCAATACCTATGATATGAAAAATCCATATGCTGCTTTGTGTCCCTTGGAAAAGAGTGATAGCCACTTGGGAAACCTCGATAGACTGGCTCATCTTTTGTAAAGTGAAGTCATGTAAGCGGTTTGAAGAACTAGATTTCACCTTGTACTGTGGGCAGACATCTGTGTGATTGGTGTGTTCATTCTAAGCTGGGACTTTTTTGAGAAACAGCTTTACTGAAAGATCATCATTCAAGCCATACATGCAAGGACCTTTTTCTGGTGATAGAAAGGATGGCATTGTGCCTTCATGTACTGCCTTCAGTATACCACCTGAATTTTAATCTTTACAGAAAAATCTAGTTGTCCCATATTAATGTATTTTTCAGAAATTAGGGAGATAGCAGAACTATCTGGGCATGGGCTGCTACTGGCTTTGATTAACTTGATAATTAGTTTTACTAATAAGTCAAAAGTCACAAGTCAAAAAATGCTGCCTTGTTTGAACTCTTCAGAAGAAGAGGCAAGAGGTTCTCGAAGTACCTCTCTAATACTTTCTTAAAACACCTTTGTATTGCAAAGCAGTCACAAATAGCAAGTAAGCACAAAGGTTGCTTTGTTTCGTTGTGGGGTTGGAGGTGCGTTTATGGGCTTCATTTTATACTCCAGTATACTTCTGATGCACAAATCATTTTCAGTGATGGAAGCATGAATGCAACTGGTACCTGAAATCAAACCAGAATAAAGGAAAACGCTGGGGGTTATTTCCATACTACTTTCCAGTCCTTTGGAACGGGCTTGCTCTTCAGAATGTGTTTTGACCTTATGTGTCATGTGACTTGAATGGATAGAAGAACTGAGCTTAAGGTTAAAAGAAACTGAAGATCAAGGTCATAAACTTCCTACCTTATTCTCAAGCGGGAACAGAGAACAAAGTGTTTCAGGCCAAGTACTGGCTTTTCACTTGGAAGGGTTGTGGGACCACAAACGTAACTTCCTTGTGGCAAGAACATTGTCATAGTTATCCATAATTACGTGATTTTCAAACTCTCTTACTCTCAGATCCCAGCTGCAGGTACCATAAGCAGATTGTGATCACATCCAGTGCTGTAAGTAGGAGCATTTTATGTTTCATGAGTTGTAAAGCTGAAGCAGATTGGAATTCTGGTATCTTGGTCTTGTTTTGTTTGTCTGGGGTTTGGTTTTGGTGGTTATTTTGGGGTTCTGGTTTTTTTTTTAATTGAGTGCATTTAAAACAACTACCACACTCTAAATTCCACATTTTATTTGATTAATGTACAATGTATCTCTTTAGGCTTAAAGCTTGACAGACTAATTGGTGCAATAGCATCTCAAAAAATTCAAGCTATATGTAATGAGTAGGGTTTCTTCAATTATGTTTGTTTGCTATAGGTGGGTTTTCAGTTCTCCAGGCTGCTTAATTTCTTACCGTGCTTACCAGGCTCTCTGAATAAAAGAGCCTAAGCGAGAGTTCACTGCTGTTAATTTTTTATGACAGTTACCTGGTTATGAAGTAATGTAGAATGGGAATGCACAAGATCTAAAACTTAACTATTAGAATTTTGATTAAGACAATAGATGTTTCAAAGTGATGTACAGATCTATGATGTCTAATGGCATTTAATGGCTCATAAATTTTTACCTCCTCTAATAACACTGTACTAAATACAAGGCAACCTTCAGATTTTAACACAGGGAAATGCTTTCCAGGAGTGTAGGTGACACAAGAGAGGGAGATTGCTACCAGCCACAGTTTGTGGCAGGTGAAATCTATTGGGTTATACAAGAGCAAGAAGGCAAAAGTCAGCTTTTCATTTTGTTATCATCAGTTTTACCTACACACACTTGGGAAGGTGACCTGCTCCTCTGCGATGCCCTGGAGGCCTGGTGAGATCCAGTTGTGCTCACTATTGCTTCCCCAGGTGAAAAGCTGCTGGAACAGCTCTACCCACCAGCACCAGGTGCTGACTTGGGGCTGTGTTTGGTTTTGAATGTGCTTTATTGTCTCTTTTTAAAGTGCCTTTAAAAAGGGGGCAAGGGAAACAGTGCATAGCTTATATATGCAATATAAGATGTGATAACTTGCGTCTCACTTCTTTTCCCCTTCTTCATTTTACAACTGTTCTTCACCAAATGTGATTCAAATGCAGTTTAAATCAGCCAAGTCTGATCCTAATTCTTGCACAGTATCAAAGTCCTGCATCTGACTCCCAGCACCAGTAGGCTTGAAAAAAGTCTTTACACACCTCTTCTGCACTGTGGTTATGGTAAATGCCTCACAAACAGTGAAGCTGATACTTCTTCCTTGCTGCTTTTGGCATAGGACTGTCCCATAGAAACAGATTGAGGCTTCTCCCTTCTCCCTTCCCAGGTTTGGATGTGAGAAAAAGCAGCTCCAAAGTAACTTGATGTGGGGGTTCATGGTTATTCCAAGGATCACCCACAGTCAGAGATGATACACGATCCCCTCTGTCTGCTCGTCCCAGTCTGGCCCTTCCTGCTCCTTGGTCCCTTGCAGCAGTCTCTCTCTGCAGCAGACCCACAGCCTGAAGGGGTGGCCTGTCTGTCCTGTCTTCGTGGCCCAGCACTGAGCTGTTGCCTCCATGTCCCTATAGTTCTAGCTGGGAAAGCCATCTTCTTTAGCTGAAGAATGAAGGGAAATGCGCAGCTGGCGTAGGAGGGAGTTTGCCCGTGCTTCGACAGTTGTGAATGTAGGGGAGGATGAAACTGGGGTGAAAAACAAATGAAGTTTGTCATTCCTGATGTTGTTTTCAGCTTTTCTCAGTAGAAAATGTCTCCAATGCTCTGACAGGCTGCATGGGTGCTGTCTGCTCTCTTTCAAGGAAGCTCAGTGGACAATGTCAGAATCCATCAGCTACTGCTCGGACCTGATGCTCATCAGGTCATCAAGTGCTAGTTTCAAGCAGGTGAAATGTGCCAGAGAAGCCTGGGGACTGGCAGGGATGAAAGAGGTCCCTGTCCCTCTCTCAGGTCACCGTCCACTTGAAGCCCGGGGACTGGCCAGGTGATCCAGACCTGAATGGAAACAGTATGGGGGATGGGGGGTGGGTATCCCGGCTGACCTATAGAACTGTCTCCAAATTCGGGAAAAGGAAGCGTTCGTGCTGCCTCTCAGCCAGGGGAAGCGGCGTGGAGTCTTTTTCCCCTGCCTGGAGTGTGGCGAAGGGGATGTGCCTGTCACCGTCCCCTCCCACCTGGGGCTCGCCGGCACTCTCCTCTGCCCACTCGACTGGGATTAGGTTAATTAACCGGCCCAGGCACGGCGACCCGACCTCAGCTAGGGCAAAACAGGCGGTGGGAGGCAGATGTTCCGGTCCTTAGTGGGAGCAGGCTTGGTCCCCGGCGCTGCCCCTCCTCGGGCCCCCCCTCCCCACGCAGACCCTCGGGCGGGTGTGTCCCGTCCCTCCCCACACTTCCCTGTTAACAAAACCTGGTGATTAAGACGCGAAACTAACAAAGAGTTTTTCTTCCACCTTAACCTTGCACACAATCCTTTAACAAATTAATTAATCCTAATGAATTAACACTTCATTTATTTAAACGCGCTACAGTTCATGAATTAAATTTTCATGCAGTGATTAAAGGCTGTTGAAATATGCATGATTTCGTTAAAATTTTATAATAAATCAGGGCAATGTGTTACATGACAAGGCAACTACTTCCCAGCCCCTCGGAAGGTGCTTTGATTCGCGGAGCGGGGGAGGGGGCTTCGCTCCCGGTTTCGGTAGCCGAGCGGATCCCGGAGCGCGGTGGGACTCGGTTGCCGACCCCCGGTGTCCCGGAGGGGATGAAGGCACCGTGTTTCAGCCACTTCGCCCCGAAATTCGGAGTCCCGGGAGCGGGAGAGACCGCGG